GCAGCAGCTCCAGCAATGGCGCCAATCGGGTGAATGGTCACATGGGAAGCAGCTACTGGGCTGAAGAGTAAGGTGGTTGGTGTGGGGACTAGAGCACACATGGACTTGTAGGGCCACTGGCAACCTGCTCCTCTCAGGCCTCCCCACCTACACTCTTGTGACTAGGGGCTCTGCAGGGCACTGAGGAGAATCAAAAGAGCAAATATTTTCACTTAAAAAAAAAAAAACCAACTCTGCCATTTTGTATTTAATAGCCTCCAGTTCTTTCGGTAATGTTATTTGCTTTGTGGGTGTGTGTGTGGGTGTGTGTGTTTGTCTGCATGTGTATGTGTGTGTGCATGTGCATGTGTGCATATGCGCGAGTTTCATTTCCTGGGTTGGGGCACAATACTAGACTGGGGCCGGTAGGCCTTGTGCCCCCTTTGAACCCACCTCAATCCCAGATTTGGCTGCATCTTGAGTAATGCTGGCTCTGGACTGTCCCTTCCCTTGTTGTCCATGGCTTTTGAAGCTATGGCCATCTGAATGGAACAGCAGAGTTCAGCTCCAGGTTTCTGCACTGTTACTCCTCGGAGCTCGAAAAGTCACACGAAGTTGTACAGAAACAGATAACCATGGATGGATGATCAGGGTTTTTGTGGCCCCTAGCTAGATTCCCTTCCTACCACCTGGTAGTGACAGGGTCCTGCTGACGCCCTGCACTTCACTCAATGGTACGCAGGGAGCGGGAGTGGGGGAGGGTGAGCTGAGGGCTGGAAGAGGACCATAGCCACTGGGCGAGCCGCTAAGGGTTTATACTGTTGTTTACTCTTGTGTGATTAAAAGTGCTTCAACCCTCCTCTGCTGTCTCAGCCTCTTCAGTGACTCTATCCCCAATTCCCTGAATCCATACACTAATTCAGAAAATGTTCAGACCTGATTCTAAAGGCTCTTAGACACATTTTTTTACTTTCTGTGCATTGCTGGAAAGAGTGCCTACATTTTATGGCTTTATGTATTAAGAAAAAAATAGGGGCGCCTGGGTGACGCAGTCGGTTAAGCGTTTGACTTCAGCCAGGTCACGATCTCGCGGTCTGTGAGTTCGAGCCCCGCGTCGGGCTCTGGGCTGATGGCTCAGAGCCTGGAGCCTGTTTCCGATTCTGTGTCTCCCTCTCTCTCTCTGCCCCTCGCCCGTTCGTGCTCTGTCTCTCTCTGTCCCAAAAATAAATAAACGTTGAAAAGAAAAAAATTAAAAAAAAAAAAAAAAAAGAAGAAAAAAATAAACATGCATAGTAGTCACAAAAAATACTGAGCAGATATATGCATGTTATCAAACCAACAAAGGATTTGGTTGAAGACACTTTCAGATACCCTTATTTCCCATACAGAGACTACCAGTTAACATTTAAAAGACTGCAATAAGGGGCACCTGGGTGGCTCAGTCGGTTGAGCGTCTGACTTCGGCTCAGGTCATGATCTTGCGGTTCGTGAGTTTGAGCCCTGCATCAGTCTCTGTGCTGACAGCTTGGAGCCTGGAGCCTGCTTCAAATTCTATGTCTCCCTCTCTGTCTCTGCCCTTCCCCTGCTCATGCTCTTTCTCTGTCTCAAAAATAAACATTAAAAAAAATTTTTTTTAAAAGATTGCAATAAAGGAGTCTAAGAAGATGTTCCCTCTTTTAGTTCTGTTTTCTTTTAGCCATGGAAAAACAGTCTTCCTAATCCAGACTTACCTGTAGTTGAGGTCCTGGCAAAATTAACAATGACATTATTCATCTCAGAGTAGTTTTTCATTTAGCGAATATTCAGATTGTCATAGTATTTCCAGATGTTGTCGTGTACATTAAGGCATATGGAGTGCTTCACTGTCAGGGAGATGGGTGAAAACTGAAAGAAACCAGTTACTGTTCTAAGAATCAGATACTTGATGTTCACTGACATTACTGGGATAGCGACACTGCTAAACTCACCTTATTGAGTGGCTGGCTTTTGAAAAGACTTACTATGGGGGCGCCTGAGTGGCTCAGTAGGTTGAACGTCCGACTTCAGCTCAGGTCATGATCTCACTCTCTGTGAGTTCAAGCCCCACGTCAGGCTCTGTGCTGACAGCTCAGAGCCTGGATCCTGCTTCAGATTCTGTGTCTCCCTCTCTCTCTCTGCCCCTCTCCTGTTTGCACTCTCTCTTTCTCTCTCAAAAATAAATATTAAAAAAATATTTTTAAAAAGTTTTTAATAAAAAAACAAATAGACTTACTATGGGGCATGCAAAAATTTCTAAAAAAAATCTTACATAGTTATTTGGTCGAGCTAAAGTCTTACATTTAGTTCCTCAAGTTGCCTTATTAGTTGAATAGACTAGTAATTGTGAAATATGAAATTTATTTTTGTAAGATTCTGTTTTTTATAGCATTTATTTTTTTTTAGTGTTTACTTATTTTTGAGAGAGTGCATGAACAGAGAAGGGGCAGAGAGACCGAGATAGCATCCAAAGCGAGCTCTGTGGTGACAGCAGAGAGGCCAACGTGGGGCTCAAACCCATGAGCCATGAGATTATGACCTGAGCTGAAGTCACTTAACCGAATGAGCCACGATCAGTGTGGAGCCTGCTTAAGATTCTCTTTCTTCCTCTCTGCCCCTCTCCCCTGCTCACACACTCACTCTCTTAAAAACATTAAGAATGTCATCTAGACTGGCACACATCACTTCCACGGTATTCTATTGGTCAAAGTAGTCACAGAGACCACCTAGATTCAAGATAGAGACTACAGTACCTCTTGATGGGAGGAGCAAGGTCACTGCAGAAGAACGTGTAGAATGGGAGACACAGCTGCTTTCATCTTTGAAAAATTCAATCTGCCACACTGAGGACATGGAGTCTCAAACTGCTCAAAAAGACCAGTGGGGCGCCTTGCTGGCTCAGTAGAATATGCTACTCTTGATCTCGGGGTGGTGAGTTCGAGCCCCACGTTGGGTTAGGCACAGAGATTACTAAAAAAACAAACCCAGATTGCCCATCATCTATCATGAGCTATCACGTTATCGCAATCCTAAAAGTAATGGTACGAGTTTCGTTCCTAAGTGATTCAGTACGCTGGTTGTAAACCAAGTTCTTCAGACTTTAGATCCAGTATTTCAGGCAGGGAAATATTTTCAGTTCAATGAAATATTTAAGTGCCTTCTGGGTGGCTCTGTCAGTTAAGCATCCACTTCAGCTCAGGTCATAATCTCATGGTTCATGAGTTTGAGCCCTGTGTTGGGCCCTGTGCTGAAAGCCTGGATCCTGGAGTCTGCTTCAGATTCTGTGTTTCCCTCTCTCTCTGCCCCTCCCCTGCTTGTGTTCTGTTTCTCTCAGAAATTAACATTAAAAAAAAATTTAAGTGCCTACTTTAGGATCGGCACTGTGGCAGAAGCTGGGGACACAAAGATGAACAAGATCTGGGTTTCTACTCTAAAAGAGCTCAAATACCCCGAGTAAGGGGGGAAAAATAACTACAATGTGATAAGAATTATTATTTTTTTTAAGTGTTTATTTTGAGAGAGACACAGCACAAGTGGGATTGGGGCAGAGAGAGAGGAGAGAGAATCCCAGCCAAGCTCCACACTGTCAGCACAAAGCCCGACGTGGGGCTTAAACCCACGAAACTGTGAGATCATGACACAAGCCGAGATCAAGAGTCAGATACTAAACTGATTGGGCCACCCAGGCACCCTAAAACTATTTTTTTTTCCTAACGTTTATTTTTGAGAGAGAGCATATGCACAGTAGAGGAGGGGCAAAGAGAGAAGGGGACAGAGGGTCCAAAGCGGACTCTGCACTGAGAGCAGAGAGCCCAATGTGGGGCTTGAACTCACAAGCCGTGAGATCACAGCCTGAGCTGAAGTTGGATGCTTAACTGACTCAGCCACCCAGGCACTCTGTGATAAGAACTATCCTAAATTATTCTTGGCAAGATGGGAGAAAACTTGAAATTTGAAGCCAGGCCATTAAAGATGAGTTTTGCTAGGAAAACAGAAATGGAAAGGTATTATGTTTAGAAGAGATGTCAAAGTATATGAAAGAGATCAGTTCTGGCTTAATGCAGGCTAAAATAACCTGAGACAAACATCTAGAAATGGTACATAAAGGTCACTTTTTAAAATATATATTTTTGGGGGCCCCTGGGTGGCTCAGTCGGTTGGGCATCCGACTTCGGCTCAGGTCATGATCTTGCAATCCGTGAGTTTGAGCCCCGCATCGGGCTCTGTGCTGACGACTCAGAGCCTGGAGCCTGTTTCAGATTCTGTGTCTCCCTCTCTCTCTGACCCTCCCCCATTCATGCTGTGTCTCTCTCTGTCTCAAAAATAAATAGACGTATAAAAATAAAAAATAAAAGAAAAAAAATATATATATATTTTTTTTTAAGTTTATCTATTTGAGAGAGAGGGAGAGAGAGAATCCCAAGCAGGCTCCACAATGTCAGTGCAGAGCCCAACGTGAGGCTCAAACTCCCCAATCATGAGATCATGACCTGAGCTGAAATCAAGAGTCAGACATTTAATGGACTGAGTCACCCAGGTGTTCCCTGGTTTTTTGTTTTTAATGTGTAGCTGAGCTTCCAAGAAAGGGACACAAAAGACACAATGAATTACTAGAGGGATAAGGGGAATATACTTGCCAATGCTGACAAGAGACAAGACCAAGCAGGAAGCTGGAAATGAGACCTCCAGTTAAAGCTGGGACCCTGAGATAGCAACAGTCTTAGTAAAAGAGGGGAAACTGAAAAATGCATCCAGCTGGCAAAAGAAGAAAGCAAGGAAGTTTGCTTGGGCTTGTGGAGTCGGAAGATTCCAGAGTTCCAGGCCCATGAAACGGGCCTACATTTCATGTGAATTTGAGAACTTTTTTTTTTTAATATGGAATTTATTGTCAAATTGATTTCCATACAACACCCAGTGCTGATCCCAACAAGTGCCCTCCTCAATACCCATCACCCACCCTCCCCTTCCTCCCACCCCCCATCAACCCTCAGTTTGTTCTCAGTTTTTAAGAGTCTCTTATACTTTGGCTCTCTCCCTCTCTAACCTCTTTTTTTTTTTCTTCCCCTCCCCCATGAATTTGAGAACTTCAAATAGCTACTTCCTGTGTGGTCTAGGAACCGTCATGACCCCCACCCCCACCCCATCCCCAAGTAAGAACTTGCATGAAAGTGGTCTCAGGTCAGTTATCCATGGCACTGCTCTAGAGAGACATGTGCATGATGATGCAGACCACGTGGGATGCTTACGCTACCACCGCCACCACCTCCCAGATAAAAAAGCTCTAGAAGACTATCTCTGTCAAACCTGCAACACCTTTGATTAACAAAATCTTGTTATCCAGAATACAGATACAAAGAAACAAAGACAACCCAATAGTAAGACAAAGGCAGGGGAAGGAGCAAAGGATATGAATAGGCAGTTTCTAGAGGAAACATATGCTAATGGATAAGAAATCAACAAAAAGGTGCTCTACCTTACCAGAAGTCAGTATGTAAATTAAAACGAACAGAAACCACTTAACACCACTTTGGAAAAACAGCTTAACAATAACTAGTAAAGCTAAATATTAGTAATAATTATTCTTGGGAGAAAGTAGCATATGGGCCCAAGGAAACTACACTTTTCTAGGGGGGAAAAAGTGGAGATGTCTCCGTGATCTTTCACTAGAGGGATGGAATAAATTGATTTACTCATGCAGTTGGAATATTATGTCGCGATTAAAAACTAGGTTTTCTTGGGGCACCTAGGTGGCTTGGTTGAGCAACTCGGTGCTGGGTGTGGAGTCTGCTTGGGATTCTCTCTCTCCTCTGCCCCTCTCCCCGACTTGCATGCACACTTTACACTGTCTAAAATAAACAAAAAAAACAAAACCCACTAAGTTTTGTCAATATGGATGTACTAGTCTGAGCCAGTAGGATGGAGATATAGCTATCTAGATATCTAGATATCTAGATATGTTTCTTAATTTGTTATAAGAAATTGGCTCACATGGTTGTGGAGGCAGAGAAGTCCCAGGATCTGAAGTCAGCAGTTGGAGCACCAGGAGAGCTGATGTATTTCCAATCTGATTCTGAAGGCCTGACAAACCAGAGAGCCCATTGGTATAAGTTCCAGTCCGAGTCCAAAGACAGAGGAAGGCCATTGTCTCAGTTCAAAGACAGTCAAGAGGATAGAAAGCATTCTCTCGTAGTATGCCTTTTTGTTTTAATTCAAGTTGACAGTTGACAATGGACTGACTGAGGCCAAACCACACTGGGGAGGGCAATAGGCTTTACTTCGGTCTATGGATTCAAATGTTAATCTCATCCAGAAAAGCCCTCACAGACGCACCAGGAATGTTTAACCAAATATCTGGGCACTCCGTGGCCCAGTCATGTTGCCACATAAAATTAGTCAGCACGATGGATAAATAAATGTCAAAAACAATGTTGAGTGAAAATGGCAAGCAAGCTTCAAAAGAATATGTCCCTTTTGATGCCATTAACATTACTTTTTTTAACCCCAAAATAATATTAAGGGCATTTCTATAGTAAAAGTATGGAAACATATACAGCACGAGAAGGATGGATAGTGTTTATCTCTGGGAAGGGAAGATGTGGATAAGGTGGGTAAATGGCATATTTTATTTTTAGTGCTTTAAATACATTTGGGGTATTTCAAAAAAATTTTAGTGTTTATATATTATTTATTTTGAGAGAGAGTATGCACGCATGCAAGAGTCGTCGAGAGAGAGGGAGACAGAATCCCTAGCAAGCTCTGTGCAATCAGTGGAGAGCACAACGCAGGGCTCAAACTCATGAACCTTGAGATCATGACTTGGGCCGAAATCAAGAGTTAGATGCTTAACCCACTGAGCCACCCAGGTGTTCCTCAAAAGTATAATGCATTGGCAGGGAACTGGAACTTGTTGGGAGTTGGATCAAAGTGGGAGATGAGAATACGAAGATGGCTTGGGGCCATATAGTGAAGGACCTTGACTTTCATGCTGAAGAGTTAAATTTTAGATGGTAGGTTATGGGAGCCCTCAAAGGTTTAAAGCAACAAATAAGTCTTTGAAAAGTACTCACGGGGAGGGTATCTTACTAATTGGGACTAGACCTTAGAGGCACAGGAAATGGAAAAGGAGACTATGAATTGACATAGACTGATAGGTAGCAAGGTTACAATCTGTACCACCCTCACCTCAGCCATCTGCAGTTGTTTTTTTCTTGTTCAATAAATAGTCTTTTGAAGAGCAGGCCTCACCAAGAAATTTAGCCACAAAACCTAGGCCTATAGAAAACAAAACAAATTTGGGATCTTTTTTCACTCAAATGACTGCTCTATGAAAGACATCTAGGAAACAATACCAAACTTATTGGCAGCAACAGGGCTCTACTGACAGTAGTTTATTATAAGGAATTGGCTGACTGAGTCACAGAGGCATTCCTTTTTATGGCTCCGCCTGGCTACTTTCCTTCACTGTCCCCTCCCTGCAGTAGGGTTCCCAGGACAAACTATAACCTTGCCAGCAAAGCTGACCTTGACTAACACAGGGTGTGGAGAGCCATGGTGTCCCAGGCCTTGCCCATTACTGGCTCTCTTCTGAGTCTCTGGCCTCTGAATAATAGAAGAAACCAGAGAAAAGCAAACTCAATCAACACACACCACATATTTTACGTATATATAAACACACTGGAAATGGTTAACACTAGTCACTTCTGTGTAGGGAAATGATGAGGAATAGAGGGAGTGACAAGGGGTACTTTTACTTATCTCTATTTTTTAAATATTTTACATTGGAAATATATTCATGTATTCAAAAAAAAAAAAAGCTTACTGGGGCGCCTGGGTGGCGCAGTCGGTTAAGCGTCCAACTTCAGCCAGGTCACGATCTCGCGGTCCGGGAGTTCAAGCCCCGCGTCAGGCTCTGGGCTGATGGCTCGGAGCCTGGAGCCTGTTTCCGATTCTGTGTCTCCCTCTCTTTCTGCCCCTCCCCCGTTCATGCTCTGTCTCTCTCTGTCCCAAAAATAAATAAACGTTGAAAAAAAAAATTAAAAAAAAAAAAAAGCTTACAGACTAGTAGATATGATACAAATAAACATCTTTTTCCTTGAACAAAAAAAAAACCAGTAACTATTTTTGAAGCAAGCGTGGCAATAAGTTGATAACAGTTAAAACTGAGGGATGGGTATAAAGGTTTTATTTCTATTCCCTCAGCTTTTGTATATGTTTGAAACTCAACAGATATTTTTATTATACAAGCTATATATATGTGCTCATCATCAAAAAAGGAATTAAGAAAGTACATGACCTCTCCATTTGCCCCAATAACTATGAATGCTTGGTATACAGCCTTCCAAAACCACTTATCAGATAACCACATGTATACAAATGTTCCTTTTAAAGCAAAAATGAGATCATACTACACATATTCTGCTAGTTTTGACTGATCAACATTCCACTTTGTGGTATACCATTATTCTTTAACTTATTTAACACTCTTTGTTATGGGGCACCTGGGTGGCTCAGTGGGTTGAGCATCTTTCTTCGGCTCAGGCCATGATCTCACGGTTCGTGGGTTTGAGCCCCACATTGGGCTCACTGCTGTCAGCATGCAGTCTGCCTTGGATCCTCTGTCCCCTTCTCTCTGCCCCTCCCCTGCTTGTGCTCTCTCAAAAATAAACATTAGAAATTTGTTTAAAAAAAGATTAAAATATTGTAAATAATATCCTTATACAAATACCCTGTGCGGTTGTATGAATATTTCTAAGGCCTAGAGGCTTAGCAGTGAAATAGGTAAGAGTATAGACACTTTACATTTTTCATAAAGACCCTACAAACTTGTCATTTCCATTAGCAAGAGAATGCTGTTATTTAAATATTAAAAGTGCTGTGAAAGGGTACATAACTGGTTGCTATGGAGCACAAAAGAGGTCTTAAATATCACAACAGGGATCCAGTAGCCAGTGGTTCTCATCTATAAAGTCCAACACCTACTTTTGTTTCTTGTGAAGGCATTTAAGGGCATACATCTCCTGACACCAGCTTGGGCTATGTTCTGAAGGTCTGCATGAAATACTTTGTTTCATTGCTTTAAATTAAGTTGAAAATTTGTGTTTTTTCTTTAAGGGTTGCCAGGAATATTTCATTTCCGGCAAGTTGAGATTATTTATTTATAATCTTATTGGATGTGATAAGAGAATACAGTCTTTAAGATTCCTACTTTAAAATTTTTTAAGGATTTGTTTTAAAAAATTGTTTTGGAGGGGTACCTAGGTGGCTCAGTCGGTTAAGTGTCCCACTTTAGCTTCAGGACATGATCTCAGTTTGTGAGTTTGGGCTCCGCATCGGGCTCTGCACTGACAGTGACGGGGCAGAGCCTGCTTGGGATTCTCTCTCTCTCTGCCCCTCTCCCACTTGCTCACACACTCTCTCAGAATAATAAATAAACTTAAAAATAATAAAATAAAACTTGTTTTGGAATAGTGAATACAAATGTTTCTAAGTGTTCTATGGTCATAGAAAACTGTTCCATATTACACATACACATACATGCACATATACATGTCAGGTTTGTTGTTTGTATTATTTCTCAGTCCTTATTCTAGTGCTGTTCAGTTCCAAAGTATAATAAAGTCCCTCACTATAACCATATTTTTATCCTGTTCTTGCATTCCTAGGAATTTTTGCTTTAGCTTCTTAGTTGCTTTGCTGTTTGTTGCAAACAAATTTATGATCATCCTTTCTTCTCAAGTTATTTTTCTTTACATTAGCAAATGATCACTTTACTGTTTAGTATTTTTCTTAATATTGTCACTCCTTACATCTGTCTATGTTCTTCAGGAATGTCTTAGCCATCTATTTGCAATTTCTCTTTATTAATGTTTATTAGAAACTACCTACAACTTGGATTTGCTTTTTTAACCCAATCTATTAGTCTTTGTCTTTTAATTCAGTCCATTGATATTTAGTGTAATATCTCATGAACTTGATGGTATTCACCTTGACAGCAAATAGGTCTATTCTTCTTAATTAAATACAGTTTATGCTCCATAAAGACTTAACAATTGCTTGACGGTTTCAACAAGCTACATTTGAAATGACAGTGGGTGCTCCAAGTGAAAATGACCGTCAGACAATTAGAGGTAAAGAAGCACTGGACAGCTATATATTGGCATTATCTGTTCTATTAGAGATTTTTTTTTTAAGTTTTTATTTAAATTCCAGCTGGTTAGAGGCACCTTGGTGATTCAGTCAGTAAAGTATTCCCCTTTGGCTCAGGTCATGATCTCGCGGTTTGTGAGTTTGAGCCCTGCGTCAGGCTCTGTGCTGATAGCTAGGAGCCTGGAGCCAGTTTCAGATTCTGTGTCTCCCTTTCTCTGTCTGCCCCTCCCCCACTCATGCTCTGTCTCCCTCTCTCTCAAGAATAAACATTAAAAAAAAATTTTTTTTTTTTATTTCCAGCTAGTTAACATACAGTATATTAGTTTCAGGTATAGAATATAGTGATTCAACACTTTCATACAACACCCGGTGCTCATCACCCCAAGTGCACTCCTTAATCCCCACTTCCTATTTCACCCATCCCCCTACCCACCTACCCTCTGGTAACCATCACTTTGTTCTCTACAGCTAAGAGTGTTTCTTGGTTTCTTTTTTTTCCTTTGCTCATTTGTTTCTTAAATTCCACATGAGTGAAATCACAGTCTTTCTCTGACTTATTCTTCTGATTAGCATAATATTCTCTAGCTCCATCCATGTCTTACAAATGGCAAGATTTCATTCTTTTTTATGGCTGAGTAACATTCCATTGTGTGTGTGTGTGTGTGTGTGCGCGCGCGTGCCCTATCTTTATCCGTTCATCACTGATGGACACTTGGGCTGTTTGCATAATTTGGCAGTTGTAGATAATGCTGCTATAAACATTAGGGTGCATGTATCCCTTTGAATCTGTGCTTTTGTATTCTTTGAGCAAATACCTAGTAGTGCAGGGGCACCTGGGTGGCTGAGTCCGTTAAGTGTCCGACTCTTGATTTCAGCTCAGGTCATGATCTCACAGTTTGTGGGGTCGAGCTCCACATCAGGCACCATGCTGACATCACAGAGCCTGATTGGGAATCTAGCCCTCCCTTTCTCTCTGCCCCTCCCCCACTCATGCTTGTACACTCTAAATAAGTAAACACTAAAAAAAAAAAAACCCTAGTAATGCAATTGCTGGATCATAGGGTAGTTCTATTTTTAACTTTTTGAGGAACCTCCATACTGTATTCCAGAGTGGCTACACCAGTTTGCATTCCCACCAACAGTGCAAGAGAATTCCCTTCTCCACATCCTCACCAACACCTCATTTCTTGTTGATTTTAGCCATTGTGACAGGTGTAAAGTTTGCTCATTGTAGTTTTGATTTGCATTTCTCTGATAAGTGTTGAGCATCTGTTCATGTGTCTGTTGGCCATGTGAATGTCTTCTTTGAAAAAATGTCTATTCATGTCTTTTGCCCATTTTTTAATTGGATTGTTTTGGGGGTGGTGAGTTTTTGTTTTGTTTTTAAGTAATCTCTATACTCAATGTCAATGTCGGGCTTGAACTTACTTACAATCCCAAGATCAAGAGTTGCAAACTTTGCCAACTGAGACAGCCAGGCACCCAGGGTGTTGAGTTTTATAAGTTCTTTATGTTTTGGATACTAACCCTTTATCAGGTATGTCATTTGCTCTATTGGAGTTCTCCAGAGAAACGGAACCAACAGGTTAGAGAAAGAACAAAAGTGAGAGTGAGAGACTTATTTTATGGAATTGGCTCACATATTGTAGGGACTGGCAAGTCTGAAAAATGTAGGGCAGGCTCGCAGGCTGGAAATTCAGGTAAGATGGATGACGTAATCCAAGATCTACAGGCTAGAGCGGTGCCTGGCTGGCTCAATAGGTGGAGCATGTGACAACTGATCTCGGAGTTGTAAGTTCAACCCCACTTTGGATATAGAGATTGCTTAAAAAAAAAAATCTACAAGCTGGAAACTCAGGCAAGGTTTCTGGTTTGTTTTTTTTTTTTTTTAAGTAATCTCTTCACCCAATGTGGGGCTGCAACTTAAACAACCCTGAGATCAAAAGTTGCATGCTCTACAGACTGAGCCAGTCAGATGCCCCCCATGTTAGTCTTATGCAGTATTCCTTCTTTGGGAACTCTCTGTCTTTGCTCTTAAGGCCTTCAACTGATCGATGAGGCCCATCCATATTATGGAGGATAATCTGCATTACTCAAATTACTAAATTACTGATTTAAATGTTGATTACATCTAAAAAATACCTTCACAGCAACATCCAGACTGGTGTTTGACCAAACAACTAAACACCATCGCCTAGCCAAGGTGACGCAAAATTAACCAACACCTCAGCACCACAGCAAAAGATGACCAAATGTGAGTGAATTATATCTAAAACACCTACTTTATATAACAAGTATTTTTAACACTCCTGTTACTATCCTTAAATACAATAATTATTTAACGTACCTACGCATAATTTTTTTTAATCAGCATAATGCCCGAATAGTAATATAAAGCAGTTTTTAAAACAATTTACAATGAAATGATGTCTACATACAAATATTTGGACATAGTTATATTAGCATTCAGATGATTAGCACTTCTGTGCATTCACCATCGATTCAGTGTCTACAAATGCAGATTGTTACGATTAGCATTGTGTCAGAGACTCAAATACCAAGAACAGGCTTAGCCATCAATAGCATGGCTTTGTGAAATGTAGTCTTTCCTTCAAATTACTGTAAAACAAATTACTGTAGTCTTCCCTCCATTTAAATAAAGTTGCATAGCTAGAGAACTCAGAGAACACTAAACCTGTACAAAAAATACTTTTGTGTTTATATGGAAAAGAGATTACAGGCTTGGCTAATTATAAACTGTCTTTTCACTTATTTGAATATCTATGGGGACATTTAATAGTTGCGCAGGACTTGGGACAACATGTTGTGCCAAGTTTATCGCAGGCGTTGCAAGAAATCTAGCATCCTTGGCGTTCACCCACCAAATGCCAGAGATGCTTCCCAATCACAGTGACAAAACACTTTCACCTTGGCTGGGGGGCGGGGGGTGGATACCACTTCTGAGAACCACTGTAGTAAACAGGAAGCTATCAAAGATACTTCCCCCAAGTTTTTCTTCGAGCAATTGGGAAAAAAGATACAGAAAAACATAAAAACTACTTACATACTCCCATTATTTCCAGTACCGAGATTTAACACCTCTAACATTCTATCTTATCCCCAATCGTATTTGTAAAAGAAGTACAAAATTATAGACCGGTGACATTGTGATAGAAGAAATACAGGGGCGCTTGAATGGCTCAGCTGGTAGAGCACATGACTCTTAATCTCAGGGTCCTGAGTTCAAGCCCCACGTAAAAGGTAGAGCTTATTTAAAAAAACAAAACAAAAAACATACTCATTTGCTCTTCTTCACAGGTTGTTGGCACAGAATTTCTAAGACCCCTGTAACCTCCAGAGTGATGACTCTGTGCTAATGAGATGACTTGGTGGGCCCCTAGTTTAAGGATGGGAGCTGATTGCCACAGAACAGGACCAAGGCATGATTAGAGGACTGGAACTTTCAGCCCCACTCTCCCAACCTACAGGTTGGGAAGAAGGGATGGAGATTGAGTTCATCACCAATGGCCAATGATGATTTAATCAATCATGCTTATGTAATAGGACCTCCATAAAAACGCTAAATAATGGGGTTCAAAGAGCTTCTGGGTTGGTGAACACACAATGGTGATCTTAGGGTGGTATGCCTTTACCCTGCCCTAATTATCTCTTCCATTCGACTGTTTCTGAGTGGCATCCGTTATAATAAACCAGTAACAGTAAATAAAGTGTTTTCCTAGTTTGGCTCTGTGAGCCATTCTAACAAATTATCAAACCTAAGGAGGAGGTCATGGGAACTGAGTTGCAGCCAAGTCACGCAGAAGTGGGGGTAACCCAGGGACCCACTACTTGTGATTGGCATCTGAACTGGGGGACAGTCTTAGGAGACTGAGCCCTTACCTGTAGGGTCTATACTAACTCCAGGTAGCTAGGAGAACTGAATTATGGGATACTTAGCTGCTGTCTGCAGAGCTGGGAGAATTGTTTGGTGTGGGAAAAACACATTTGGTGTCAGAAGTCCTGTGAATAGAGGAAACAATTGTCAATTTAAAACGCCTTCAACCTCTGCCCTACTCCACCTCACTTCACCCCCAATATAACTTCTGAGTTTAGTGTGTCTTTTCAATCTATTTTTACAATTTTATCCACAACACGGAGTATGGTTTTTCCCATGGGTTTGTGATACTCTATCATCCTCAATTTCTCACACATACATATGTGTTTCTGAGCTTATTATATTATGCCAATGATCTATCCGTCTACTCCTGCACTATAATGCCACATTTATATCACTCTAAGCTTTCTACTATGTCTTGATATCTGGTAGGATCAACCCATCTTCTTTGTTCCTCTTTAAAACTGTCTTAGCTACTTGTGCTTTTAAAGATTTTTTTAAAAGGAAAAGTGGTATTTTCTACAGACATGTGACCCAGCATAGGACAGTGAAGAATCCAAGAAATCTTACTGGAAAAAGAGAAGACAGGGAAGTAGAGAGGATGTTCTATTCAGAAAGAAAGCACAAACAGGCACGGAACAAGAAACAGCATGTGATCATATAGGCAGTTGATATTAAAGAACATAAAGCATGAAGTAGAAACATAAAGTGGGTCAGGTCTTAAGGACCTCATATGCCATGCTAAGGAGTCTGGACTCAACTCTACGGGTGAGAGTCTTAACCTATTGTTTTTGATAGAGCTTCAGAGAAGATTGAAAGCAAGAGAGTGCCATAATTTAGTTAGTTCCAAATAGAGATCTAGGATAGCAATGTGGCAAATAAATTAGATGAGGTCAAGATTGGAACCAAGACCCCTAAAAGGCTTCTGCAAAATTGTAAGCAAGAAATGGAAAGGACAGAACTGATTAAGTGGATGCTTAAATAGTAAGAATGAATAAGACAATTACTTGGTTGGGAGTAGGATACAGGGAAATCTATTAAAACTCTCATTTCTGACTTGGATGATAACATCATTAACTAAAATAGGGAGAAAAAAATAGGTCCTGGAGACAAGGAATGCGATTAGTTGTGAACATGTCAAGTTAGGGGACTATGAGATATTCAAGTGGATATGTCACACAATTGGATAGAGCTGAAGCTCCAAAGGTCAACCTAGACGATACAGATTTGGAGGTCAGCAGTAGGGATGAATAGCTGACATTTATTGAACGCTTATCATACGCCAAAGAAATACTTAACATGAATTATCTCATTTAATCTTGAAACTAATCTTTTAAATTAGGAACTATTATTTTTTAATCCACCTTAAACAGAGGTAAACTGAGGAATTAAGAATAAGCAACTGGACTACTGCAATACAGCTAGAATGGTAGAGCTGGGATACCAACACCGAGTACTTAACTATTCTTGTAATGCTAAAATCATTGAGTGCCTAGAATAATCCAGGAAAAACATATAGAATGAGAGAAATGGTCTAAAAACAAAATTCTGAAGCACATCAGTGTTTAAAGTGGGCAGAAATTCCCAAAGGAAATCAAAAGAAAAAGTCAAAGGCATAGAAGGAAACAAGAGAGTGGTCCCTCCCTAGGGCCAAAGTCCAACTTCAGTGCAGCAGAGAAACAGCCAGGGAAGGACCGAAATCATCAGTGGGTATGGCACAACAGAGGCCACATTAACCAGGAGTTTCAACACAACTGTGGAGGTGGAACGAATTTTAAGTCTGTGGAAGTGGCATCATGTGGAGTTCTCCTTAAATAATCTTGAGCAAGTTCACATACTGAGAAGGAAGAATGTGAATTAGAGACAACTAATGGAGCAAGGTCTGGGATTGAAAAGGGTAATGAGGGAGGCAAAGACCACAGCAGAGCTGTTTGAAGGATCTGTGATGGGCACAGGCTAGACAGGAAATCAGTTTAGGTCAAGAAACGGCTGAAAGACTGGAAGAAAACAGAAGGTAGCAAAAGACCTGAAGTCTCCAAGTTCCAGAGAGGGTGGAAATGAGAAGGTAAGAAAGCTTCTCACAAAGACTGATGTAAGAAAAAAGGGGGGGAGGAAAGGGGTGAAACAGAAGTCGGAGAGAAAAAAAAAAAAAGACCGATGTTCCACTTTCTTTTTTTTTAGGGAGTGGGAGGGGCAGAGAGAGAGGGAGAGAGAATCTTAAGCAAGCTCCACACCCAGCGCTGAGCCCAACCTTGAAATCAGGACCTGAGATGAAATCAAGAGTCAGACGCTTAACCTACTGAGCCACCCAGGTGCCCCTATGTTACATGTTTTGAAAGTGCACAGGGGAGCTTGGAGAATGGTAGTGACCCTACCATACAGGCAAGTGAGAAAGCAGAGAAGGCGAAGCAGAGTTCTTGGTTAACACACCGAGAGAGGATGGGAGTAGAAGGGCTGGTGGTATAGGAAAGCTGAGGTTTTTTAATCACAGAAGAGGGCCTTTAGGTGACAGGTTTAGGAGTCGGACAAAAGTCAGAACAGTATGCACATGAGAGAGACAAGTGTCCAGGAGGATTGTTATTTTGGGCGATTACCAAGAATGACGTGAACCAGCAAGACTCAAAGCTCAACATGGAATGGTGGCAAGAACAGCTCTTTTCATAGTTGGGTTTTACCTTGAATGCACGGTTTTCTTTCACATCCTCTTCACAACTTTGTGAAAAGACCTGCAGGTAGATTTCCTATGTGAAATCAATCCTATGCTAATACTACACCCCCGGAGTTTAAGGAGCTGGACTGCATTACTATAAGCTGCCCAACAATTCTTCCCTTTGAGAACTAGGCCTCCTTCACTTTGGGCAATTTTGACAGGGCTGTTAAACAAGGGCTTCTGCCTTCCTTAACTGAGGGGTGCACCGCTGGCCATGAGCTTGCCAGAGTACTTGTCAATTACCTTGACACAGTAATTGGTGCTGGAATGGTCACGGACCAAAGAAGAGCTCTGGTCTCTACGGAGTCTTTTCAGGGGATTTATACAGAGGCTGAGACAGTCTTTTCTGACATCATGAGTTGATACTACCACTCCTAAAACTGCACACCCCCATTTCATGGGTGCTAAGAACTCAAAATATAGAAATCCAGTCTGTGACTAGAAAACAGGTAGTCAAGGCCCCACCTCTGTAGCCCATACCCTATTTAAGTACACAAAAATACCAAGACACAGACACGGCAAATATTTAATGTCTGCCTTATCCTCCCATTCCTGTTGTGATTCAACAGCCTCCCCAAGATGGAGTATCAGAGAAAACATGGGCACTTTTTCTCAGCAGGATTTGGAAACCATTAAGGCCCTAGTTCTCTTGACTTGGAACTGAGTGCAGGTGAGATCGTTCCACGGCCTCAGGCCTCTCTGTTCAAGGAAAATAGCCCCCCCGGTTCTACGGGACTCCTGAGGTCTTCTGTTCTTCTGCAGCCTGGCGCCGGGAGCTGCGCCGCTGGAAATAGTGGTAGACTCGGGCACTGCAGAGGTAGCCCCCGTACACAGTGAGGAGCATCATGGAGGTAGAGAAGGTCTTGTAGCCAATGTCAGCTAGTTGCTTGGCAGTTGGCATGTTGTCCCCTACAAAGACAGACTGGATTTAGACCCAAGGATACGGCCTCATCTGCCCAGCCCACTTCTCTGCTTAAGGCCATTCTACAACTTCTGCATCCTGCTTAGTCTGTCTGTACTCTACTCTGGATGGCCGCTACACCCACGCAGAGTCTTATACTGGAAGATACTGTTCAAGAACTCTTAAGATTCAAAAAGAAGATATAGTCTGCATATGAGATACAAAAACACAGCTAGAAAGAGGTGCATTTGAATGACATCACAGGTAACACCCGGCCCTCTATGTTTGTGGGGAAAAGTGACTGGTATGAACCACCCAGAAATGTCTGTAACTGGTATAGGACTGTAAGCACGCATCAATTTTTCTGGCTAGTAGGGAATGAATGGGGGTAGTCAGAGATTAAACGAGAGCAGGAGTTCTCTCTGGGAGATCAAATGGGAAACTTCTACGCTATATCCAATTTGTTTTCCCATAAAACCAATCTTGTTCACAGTGGTTAAGTTCCCAGGTGATCCCTCAAGCATCTGTTTAAAGCCATAATATACCTGAAATAATGCCAACAGTATGTTTACACTATTTCAATTATACTTAACCTTCTACAACTTTAATTCCAAGTTCCAAACATAATTCCAAGAACCTATCCTAAGGGTTAAAAAGAAACTGAGTCCCAACAAATTGTTAGCTCACATTTGCATGAATAAATTACTTCTAATTTAACTGTTCCCTAGACACTCTGAACTAGAGAACAAGATAAAGTTTAGCATGGGAATCTTTCATCCTGAACAAAATGTTCCTCAATTTGGGACTATGAATGTGTTCTTAGGCTCCTCTCTGTTGAGGGACTTGAAATTAAAAGACTGACTGAAATTAGCGAGAACGGGTTGCTTAAAAGTCAAGAATTTGGAAGAAAAGCTCAGGATTGGCTGGTTTAGGGGGTCAAGAGTAGGGTGAGGCAAAGAAGAGCTTCTCACAGCAAGCTCTATGGGCGAAACACTGCCTTTGAGCCAGTTCCTGAGGGTGGAACCCAAGCTGGACTGAGGCACAGCTTCCCTGAATTCTAATTCCAAATGACTATGGAAAGTGACATTACATAGAGGAAGAAAACCAAATGGCACAGGTTCAGGCGAGAAAGAGTTGCGTTCTTGGTTATCTGAGGCTTGAAAGGGACCCTGAGCTGTGAGACAGTGAAGAAAACACACATACCTCGAGCTAAGGTGGTAGACAAGATCCCAGGAAAGAGACCTGCAACTTTCAACCTCCGTCTCACTTATTCCTTCTCCACCTATCCCCTATTATCCCGGCCAGATGCTAACCAGTTATAGGACCACTTCTTCCAGGGGCTGGAGGAAGAAGGCTGGAAGCATTCACCAGCTAACAAAAGTAAAAGGATGGTACAGCTTGGCTAGAAGAGCGACAGAAGACCTACTAACAGATGTAATTTTGGTGTCTAGAACCTCACTTTCGTTTCTTATCTAATCCAACCTGAGATTTCTATGTTCAAGCTAACAAAAACTCTCCACAGACCCTGAGCTAAGGCAGGCAGTAGAAATGGAGAGGAAAGATGCACAAGTTATTTTGGAAGAATGTGACTTATTAACGGAATGGATTAGAGTAAAGCTGAAAATATCTCCAAGGTAGCAAATTAGGAAACTCTGTGGATGGGATAATAGGGATAAGAAATGGAAAGAAAAAGGTGTGTATCACTGTGTGTATGGGGGTGGTAGTGGCAGTGAGTAGCAGTCAAGTTCATGAGATGGATTTTGGGTATGTTAAAATTCAGATGTTCAACACAACATTCATGTGATAATGCCTACCAGGCAGAAAGACATGCAAATTGGACCAGATCTTGAGAGAGAGACTAGGCTATAGATACAGAGGTTAACAGTGACACCAAAGCAGAGGATAAAACCGGAGAGAGAAACCAAGGGAATGCTGGTTTGAAGAAGAAAAAGAATTCATGAAAGAAGGCAGGTGGGAAATTCCAGAAACATCTGGGAAGGCTTTTTCATTTAACTACATCTCCCTTCCTGGTTGCAAATCACTGCAATCAAGTCACTGCCACTGATTGAGTTATCCTTCCCACCTGTGAGCCAGAATGAAAACTGGGAATCACCACTCCAAGTTAAGTGCCATGAAGACTGGTCAGATGAGATCATCAGATGGGAAAAGATAACTCCATCATGGGTAAACAAACCTAAGGTAGAAGTCAATTTAGTGCACTGATTAAGTGAAAGCACAGATCCTTTTTTTTTTTTTTTTTTTTAAATAGGCTCAAGCCCAACATGGGGTTCGAACTCATGACCCTGCGATGGAGAGTCCCATGCTCTACCAATTGGGCCAGCCAGGCACCCAGTTAAAGCACAAATTCTCACCCAGAGTTCCAGTAGAGCCACCAACAGCACCTCCCAAGTTTCATGTGTCTATGTATTTTTCTGGGACAGAGAGAAATAGATTACTAGAAGGGTAACTTTTTACCTCAAAGAATTCTTGTGATTTTCTGGTTAAGGGAACAGAAGTAAAGGTGCAGCAGCTTGAGAACGTTAACAAGATCAAGGAAATTCTAATTATATTTTGTTTATTGATAAGATACAGATATGTTTTAAAAAGGAAAAGGCTGGTGGCTAACCTGAGAATAAAAAAAGAGGTGGATAGGATGGAACAAGATCCAGGATGGCTCAAGAAAAGGCAAAATTAGAAGCCCAGGTAGAAGGATTTACCTTGGAAATGAAAGAAACTTGTGAGGTTAGCAACACACTCTCATATGAGAGACATCCATTTTCTTAAAAAAAAAAAAAAAAAAGAAGAAGAAGAAGAAGAAGAAGAAGAAGAAAAGAAAGAAAGAAAGAAAGAAAGAAAGAAAGAAAGAAAGAAAAGAAAAAAGCTCAAAGCCGGGTCTGTTATGGGGTGATGGGGTTAGACTGAAGTTTTCAAAAAATAGGGAGGTTAAAAAAAAAAAAAAAAAACAGGGAAAAAAACATAAGAACCAGTATGAAAAATTCCATAGGAGTGCAATCTGCAAAGTTCTGGCTCTTCTCTTTTTCTGCCCCCTAAACATGGGAGTACTTCAAGACTCGAGTTTCTCCTCTGGAAATCATTTCCTCAAATGTGTTCCAGCCACCTCCGCCTAGATTTACTCATTTATCTGTCTACCTTTTACTCGTACTATGAAGGCCACAAAGAAGTACATGGCTTCTGTCACAAAGCAGCTATGGTCTGATGGGGAAAAGCCATACATCCCAAATCCTGTTACCTAAGGCAGAAGACGGAGCGGATCAGAAGAGAGGCAAAGTGAGAGTTCAGAGAAAAGGTGGGAGCTCAAGAAGTTAGCAATAAGCTGGGGAGGGGGTGTGCGGCTCTGTCTTTTAGATGCGCAGGCAGGATTTACACCAGTAGAGAATAAGGAGGGGGAGAGCATTCGAGGAACCGAAAGCAGCGAGTGGAGCTGTTTAATCGATAAGCACGAAGGGTGCCCGGCGAAAGCCGCATATCAAGGCGCAGCCGACTGTAAGGCAGGGAAGGGTCCGAGCTACCGAAGTCAGAGCATGGAGGGCCAAGGCGCGGGGTTGGAGTCAAGGCTTCACGGAAACCTATGGCTGTCGGGGGCCTGTAGGGCTGCAAGCGGGGCAGATGGCGGCTCGCGCGGTTCGCGGCGCAGGAAACGCGGTGATCTCAAGGGCACCGAAGACGGGGGCTTGCCAAGATGGGTTAACAAAGGCCGATCCAAGACCGGGCGCCTCAGCGGACAGGCGGCCCCTGCGGGACCCTCGCAACGGTGTACCTGGATGTTGCAGCTCCCCGGCGTCCAAGCTCGGCCTCTGCAGGCAGCGTCAGGCCGCCGCAATCTGCGCAATTTCCTAGCGCAGCCGGACTCAGCAACCCTGACCATGTATGCGTTATTGGCATAGACCTGGGGCGCTAATGGCGCGGAAAGCCACCCTTTCCGCCCCCCCACCCGAGCCGCTTACCCTCTAGGACTCCGCTCCGGACGCCAGAGATAGCAGCGCGCGGAACACTACACAAAGCCACCCACCGAGGATGCAGCTCTCGTTTGCCGCAGCTCGGCTGGTTCCCGCTTTGTGCTTCCGGGCCAGTCACCCTTACTACGCATCCTCAGACGAGTCTTCCTTTCGGAGAGGACCGTTGCATTCTGGGGGTTGTAGTCATTGTCCATTGAGAGAGGGTCTTTGGCGACCCAGCTGTAGAACCGAAACTTTTAGGGATACACAGTCAAGATAGAAAACATAACCTTTCTCTTCGACTCAGAGAGAGTCAGCCAATCCCCAGCCTAGGTGCGGTGACGCCCCCGGAGCTGGTAGATTCTCTAGGGGTCAGCCCGCTGGAGGTGGGCCGCGCTCCCCCTAGAGCCTGGAGCTGCCCTCTTCCGCGTGGCCGGCTTTGGCCGAACTCAGGTAGGAACCGGTACGCACTGCGAGGCCTGGACCGCCAAGAATGCTACAGGTTTGGCTAGGGCCACAGAGTGGGTACGAGGGACGAATGTCTGACGTTTCCGGCCAGTGCGTGAGCTCCCCGCTTGCAGGAGGAGTGGTGAAGACCCAAAGACGCACTGGGAAGGGAGTGTCACTTGGGGGAAAAAGGACCGCATGGGCACCCCTGCCAGGGGCCCAGAGTGGCTGGGATTATCGAGGGGGGATTTCCGGGTTTTTTTCTTCATTTTTTTTCCTGTGGCATGAGTGAAAATCTATACATGCAGTGATACACCACAGCATACACACTGCCACGTGCGCTGAAGCGCCCCTCTCCGCCCCCCCCCCCCAACTCGTTTCTGGAAAAACCACGATTTATTGAGTAGACAAGTAGTAGGCTTGATTGGAAGGCCCAGATTGTTAAGTGTGGAGTGAACAAAAGTAGGCAAAGGTGTCGGACTACCTAACAAGGTCGCAGCGGCAGCTGAAGGCAAAGAGCTGTCTTTCTGTCCCCACTTTGACCTCCTGGGGAGGAGCTCTGGTTTCAGTCAGTGTCCGGACCTGGGCCCAGCCAAATCTGGGGTGGCTGTGCCCCTCACTCCTGCAGCCTGATGCAGGCAGCTCTGCCCTTTACTTGTTAAGGCAGTGTGAATCCTCGAGGGCTGGGACTGAGAGGAGCCTGCTTCCCTGGTTTGGCACAGAGTAAGAAAGGGTTAACATAATGCTGGCAGAACCACAGTGTGCCAGGTGCTGCCACATAGGAAGCTGAGATCCTCTGCTGAACATGGCTGGAGACTGGCAGGCCCATAGGGCCTATTTATAGCCAGGGGTCCAGGCTGCTGACCTGTGACATTCCCTGGCTGCCAATCCTTCCTGAAACAAGGCCAGTTCAAAGCACACTCCCTCCTCCCCTTCCCGTTCTTTCCTCATCACAGGGGGTAGGGTGGTTTTAATTTTTTCCTCCTTGAGTTTCCCAGCTCCAGAGGTGCCCAAAGTGGTCAATACCTCAGGAGAAGGCCTTCAGATGACGAAGGAGAGCTGGCCTTGGAATGTCAGGAGCCATCAACATGGACTTGCTCACCCTTACTTCCCTATCCCAGATTACCCTTTGGGCCACTCTCTGGCCCCCTGATGCAGGTGTTGGTTAGTTGCCCTGGCTGCTCTGGGGGCAGCTGAGAAATAGGTATAGGGTTTGGGAGGAGAAAAGGGGTGGAGCTAAGGATGTCCTTGGGAAGACAGCGGCAGGAGGGACCCAAATGACACCTCCCCCCACTAGAGCTCCAGAGAAGAGAGGCGGAGCAAATTCAAAGGTCATAGGGAGCAGAGTGATCTGAACCAGCTATGAAAAGGTGTAGCTGTCAGCAGATTAGGTTCCTGCTCCCCAAAGAGGGCCCTGGCCGGGAGGGTGAGGGAAGGCTTTGAAAGGTCATGCATGATGGGGAGAAGCTAGCAAGAACTAGGAAGTCCCCGGGGAGAATGACAAACCCCAGGGCCAGAGATGCCAGCATGGCAGCAAGTCTGGTGCCAGGGCAGCCTGGGGGCGGGGGGGGGGGGGAGAGGAATGACCAGAGGTTTCTGAGGACGCAGATGTTGCTAGGAGAAGCTAGGAGGGGGTTGAGAGCTTTGTATTTTGTTAACAAACACTGAGATCCATTGATGCTGTGTGGGGCTTGGCAGAGGTCAGAGCAAAGGGGTCCCTGGGGCCTGTGTTGGCTCAAAAGCCCAGACCCCTCCTTGGCAGCCCTTACCTAATTCCTCTTGTGGCTGAGGTACTTCTTTAGCCATTTAACTGGGCTTGGGGACAGGACTTCTGGTGTGTGAGAGGCAGCAGTGGGCAGCCCTTGCCTCCCTCTCCCTTTACCCTCCCCTCAACACACACACCCAAAGCAGACAGGACTGGGGTGTGATTCTACCCCTTTCAGAGGACAAGGAGAAAACCCCGCATCTGGAGAGGGACAAGGCAACTCCATTTCTGGCGAGATGTGGTGGCAAGAGGCTATGGGCTGCTTGATGGTTCAGGATCTCCAGGCAGGTAGTTGGGCCCCACAGCCTCCTGTCCCCCAGAAGAGGCTGCTCCATGGAGAGTCCCAGAGATCCTGGTGGCCAGGTACCCCAAGCTTCTGACTGTCTCCACTGGGGTAAAGAAGCTGCCTGGCCTGGCCCCAGCTCCGCTCACAAATGTTCTGGATGATTCTGCAGGCAACAGATGAATTCACTCACTGGATGGTTCTCATAGCATATCTTGTACACAGCCATGAATAGAGGAAACCTAGAATGGGGAAGGAGAAACCCAGATTAGCCTTCCGGTATACCTCTACTACCTGCCCCCGCCCACTCCCTGTCCACCTCCTAACCCTCCACTCTCTTACTCTCCCACCTTTGAGCTCAGGCCGACTCTGGGTCTCAATTTCCAATTGCTGAGAAGTTGAACTCCTAGTCCTGGGTTTAGGGCAGGTTGTTAATTGCCCTGCTCCCTATTGTATTGAACTTGCCTGTATGATTCCCTGGCATGAATTTTTTGTTCTAGTTGGGTAAGCCACTTAACCTCTCTAAGCATCAGAATCATCAACTATAAAATAGGACCAATATAACAAAGTAATGAAGAAGCCATTATGTATTAATGTGTAGGTGCTCAATAAATGCATTTCCTTCTTCCCATCCTCTTACACAGGCTGTTTCCTTTACCTTGAGGCTTTCTGCCGACCAGCCATAAGCTGATCTTCTGAACCTGTTTCATACTCTCTTATTCTAGGATTCTTTCTCAGATCAGTAGAGCTCTGCTCTGATCAGCCCATCATTCCCACTGTCTTTGTGCTCCCTGAAAAGGAGCACTTTGACACAGCGGCTGTCTTCCTCACCCCTCGGCACCCAGGACAAGATTCAGGGGACAGAAAGGTTGGCCTCCAGGGAGCAGCTTAGATGGGATGATGGGACAGTCAGTTGAGTTTATTCCTGCTGCCCCAGAGCTCCAGCCCCCATAGCAAAGGACAGGAGGACAGGACCGGAAGTGAGGCTATGCAAAGGGGTCCAAGCAATGTGGTGCAAAGAGCAGTAGACTGGAGGGAGTTCAAAGACTATGAAGTAGCAGAGGGACAGCGGGCAGACCAGACTCTCTCCAAGCTGTAGTCTCCTTGTCTGTAAATACAAGGTTCCCTCTCCACCCACTTCACCGATTGAGGAGGGATCAGGAAGATGAGTGTGGAAAGCACTTGTGGCTGTGGTTCCCTCCTCCACTGGGGCTGGGGCAGACACCTACTTGTCCACCATGCCCTTGTGTTGGAGGATGCTGTGTAGCTCCCGGGCTGTCGGGGGCCCCTGCAGCTTCTGCCCATTCAGCATCTCTTTCTCCAGCTGCTCAATGGGCTGTGAAGAAAAAGAGACGGGTGGATGGAAATGGCAGACAAGGGTTGTCAGGGGGAGGTGGAGAGTCTGGGGCTCAGATGGGAGGTGGGATCTTAGGCACCTAAAGGGCCCACCCTCCATTCTCCATTCTCCCAGGGTTCCTACCTTTCCTGTGCGGACGAAGGCCTCGGCCACCTTTCGGTTCCTCCCTCCGTAGCAGGTGGTGATGAGGTCACCGATACCACAGCTCTCCAAGAAGGTGGCAGAGGACACAGGGCCACTGCAGAAGAGCTTGGCAAAGGCGATCATCTCCATGAGCCCCAGTCGGATCACCGCTGCCTTGGTGTTGTCACCAAAGCCCAGCCCGTCACAGAAGCCAGCTCCCACGGCCACTATATTCTTTGGGGAGTGGAGGTCACAGGTGAGAAAGGATCCCTTCCTGCAGGCCCTCAGGCACCATCCTCATGCTCCTTCCATCAGCCATGTGAAATATAGTGGGTGGGCTCCTCAACTAGCTCCTCCGCTTGATTTTCCCACTCGCTGTACCCCTGGGCTTGTGCTTCCTGGCTCTGCAACCCTGCCCCCTACTCCATCCTTGAGAACATTTCCTGAAAACCAATCTTCTGTTCAGCTAGCCCTCCCATCCTTGACTATTCTGCTCCACATCCCTGATGTTCTCAACTTGTCCAAGATCCAGAGTTCTGGCCATCAACCTGCCTGGGTGCCCTAGGTATCTTATCTCCCATTAGCCTGGGTGCTTTTCCAGGACATCTCCTCTTCCCCCTGGACCACCCACTGGAGGCAGGGACAGGAATGTCCTACAAGGGGCTATAGGGAGAAAGGGAGGAGGAGGGAGGTCCAATGTTTGATAGTGAGTAATTGTCAGGCCTGAATGACCCTGACCTTGCTGTTGCAATTCTTCCTGCGTGTGTGGGACTTGGTGGGGAAGGCAAGCAATTGCCCAAGAGTGAGGAGTACCAGCCACCTCGTGTAGCTAAGCCAGGCCCTCCATCAGGATCTTCTCCCCACCTCATAGATAACTCTGCACCCCTCTCACCTTTAAGGCCCCACAAATCTCTACTGTATCCACCTCTGGCACCACTGTGATGCGGAAATTGGGTGTCTGCATCAGCTTTTTCAGAAGCTCTCCTTGGGCCTGGTCCTTGCAGCCTAAAGTAGGAAGGGAGGTGAAGCTTTGAGAGGGGATTCTCTTTTCACACCAGCCCTAAGCAGGACCTGCCACCCTTTCCCTGGGGGGCGGGGGCGGGGGAGGGGGGCCCGGGCCTCCCCCACCTCTGATGCTTGGGTCTTCTTTCCTTTGCCTGCCTTATGGGGGAAAAGATGGCTACGTGGGGGAGGGGGGAATACGGAGAGGGGATGTGACAAGCTGCACTTGTGAGTGATGGTTAGGGCTCTCACCAATGGTTGTCTCACAGAACTTCTCATCAGCCACCTCGCTGGCAATGTTGGCCCCCATCAGCACACTCATGGGGATGCCAAGGTGCTCCCCAATCACTTCAGAGATGAGCTTCAGCCCTTTAGGGCCCTCGTCTACCCCCTGGGCACAGGATGGAGCTCAGGCCAGGTGCCCTTTATGCCCAACTGAGGGCTTCCCACCCAGAAGTCCTGCCCCTTCCAAATCTACTGTTCATCAGTGTCCCTCCCCAAAGGCCCTGTCCCATTCTAACTCAGCCAAAGCTTGCCGTGAGGAGGGTAGATGGCACGTGAAAATGAATCCATTTGAAAATTCTTCCATATACCGTCAACCAACCTACTTCCTGACATCCCTCAACAACCCACCCCCAAGGACCTCAAACTAACTTCCATCCCAGTCACTGCTCCAAACCACCTTCCCTTTCACATTCCTCAAACCCAACAGCTCCTCATACCCCCAGGCATCTCTTGTATGCCTCCCAAACTGCAGATATCTGCCTCCAAAGCTACTTCTAACTTCCCCCCAACCACCCTCCCCACCCCAGCGGCCCCCAGCACCTATTTCTCAGCCTCCTCCAAGCAACTCCTCTCTTCTCTCCAAAAAACTCTTGGCCTACTTCTGCCATTTTCTGTTCTCACTTCCCTACCCTCACCCCACAGCAGTTAGCTGCACCCCATCCACATGAAAGTGTTCCTGGCACCTTAATAAGAGATACACCAATGGCGTTTGCCTTCAGGTGGCCCTTGAGTTGATCACAAATCTTGCCGATGAACTGATGGGGCACCACAAAGATCAGGATGTCAGCACCGGCTGCAGCCTGGACCACATCTGGGACAGCCACCTGTGGGGGGCGACCAATGCTCATGGGCCTCACGGACTTCTGCTAGCCCATTCTGGAGATCTAGGGGCCAAGATGTGAGGCTGGTGGGGGAGAAGGAAGGGCAGTCAGGGGATCTAATCTGGAAGGCCTGAACTTGGAGGAAATGGAACACTGCATTCCCTCCCCCTCGCTGTCATTCCCTCTCCGGCTCCAGCTGCCTGGGGCTCTTGAGGACTCCTGGGAGCCTCCTCTCAGTGCTTCTGTAGCCCTTGGCTGTGGGACAGTGAAGGAGGCCACAGAAGGCCTGGGCTTGGCAGGAGGGAGAGGCCAAGTAGGGTTTCATCACCCTGATTCTTAAGGCTCCCAACTGGGAAGGGAGAGCCCTTCCTGCTGTCTTCCCTGCTCCCCCTTTCCAGGTTGGGAACAAGCCACATGGATTTGACTAGAGACCTTAAATCCAAGGAGCACCCTCCACGTCTGCTAATAATCCAATGAATAAGTAACAGGATTAGAGCCTGAGGCAGGCGCTACCCAGACCCCAAGTCTTTAGTTGTCACGGAAACCAACTTCCTCATCCTCCCTTTCCTGCTTGGGAGCCCATAAGTGTATGGGTGTTGGGGGGGGGGGGGGGCGGTGGAGGTGGAGGTGGAGAGGGTTCAAGTTCTTTTCAGTCCCAGGAAGTCCCAGGAGAGCAGTTTGGGGATTTTATATACGGGTGCCCTGTGCCTAGAGCAGCCCTCCCAAGATGCTTTCCAAGTCCAAGTAGCAGCTGAAATGACCCCCCCTCAGCAGGAGGCACCCCTCCGCTTCCGTCTCCCAGGGTATTGGGGCTCACCACGTTGGGGGGCAACTTGTGCCCTGGCAGGTATTTGACATTCTCATGCTGTGTGTTGATGATCTCTGTCAGCTTTTTCCCCCCGACGTCTTCCTCAAACACCCACATGGTCACCCGTGGGTCAAAGTGTGACAGCTGGGCCGCATTGCCGCCCACAATCTTGGCGATAGCAGAGCCCCTGGTGGGAGGGAGAGCACAGAAAGTGGAGGAGTCAGGGCAAGAGGGAGGAACGGTGGCAGGGGAGGGGGCAACGCTCCACCTCAGGATGGCACCACAGCCTACCAGATTATTTGCTTGCCACCTTCCTTATGACCTGGACCACCACCATGAAAGTGCGTCTTTGGCAGTAGAAAGGAGACTTAGTCTATCTTATACTTTGCAGCTGGAAAAGGGGAACAGCCTCCAACCCCCCAGCCCTAAGCAGCTATTCAGGCAGAGAGGACTCTGGAAGCTCCCTTCCTGTGGTGAACAGGTGCAGCTGCCCGGGCAAGCAAGGGCCAGGAAAAGGTTTGGGCACCATCTGTCCTGTGGGGGTAGGCACAGAAGATACCAGGGGTGGTACAGAAATTGGAGGGCATTTACTACCCAGTGTCTGCCTCCTGCCCACCAAGCCTCTTTCCCTAACCCCCTGTATACTTGGGGGAACCTCCCGTTCCCTCCCCATACTTGACAGAGTCACTTACCAGTTGCCGGAGCCTACAATGCAGACTTTCTTGCCAGCCATCGTGCCGCTGCTCTAACCGATCTGGCTCAGTGCTGCACTCCCAGCTTCTCTGCGGGGCTCGGAGCATATAACTCCACCACACGTGGGTGCAGCCAAGTCCCGCCCTCCAGGGGCGGGTGGGGAGGCGGGAGCCCAGGGAGACGGAATCTGGCAAAGCCAGGGAAAGGGGAGAAAAGAGACAGGTGGAGAACAGGAATGAGGCAGAGTCCAGGCCCCGCTTTTCTTTTTAGGTTTGCCAGATGATGACGCTAGTGAGCTTCTTCCCTTGGCCCCAGCCCTCCCTCCCTGTAATGGTCTCATTTTGAAATCTGCCAAGAAATAGCCCAGATGAGGAGCAAGTGACTGGTCCCCCCCAATCCCTTCTGTCCCCCAGCACTGGCCTAAGTTGTATTCAGTCCTAGTAGCAAATACAGGAATGCTTTCTTTTCCAAGGTAGGAATCACGCCACATATCCTCCTAGGACCCCAAAGTCTGCTCTAGAGGTTTATCCTCTAGCAGTGACAAAAGACTACATGTCACTGGCCCCACACTAGCTCTGCTGCAGGGCTGCGTGAGTGAGGTGCATGGGTGTAGACTCACATTTGAGGATAAGACTACGTAAGAGGTAAGGGCCTGCTTTGGGGGCATCCCAGCCCAAGGATTAGCAGAGACCTCAAGAGCCCCAAGGTCATCTCGGTTACCCAGTGTTCATCTCAGGGACTCACCCTTGGGCCTCTCTCCTCACCCCAAAGGATCCTCACCTGAATGTCTTCCAGGAAAAGAAGGTGGGAAAAGCCAAAGTCAAAAGCTCTGATGCCAAGTGGCTTACAATTCTCTTGCAGACTCTGGGTTTAAGGAAGAAGAGGACAGGATAGAAAAGAAGGCAGCTAAAGCATTCACTGTCCTTGAGAGGTTTTGAGCTGACTTCAAGTCTGTCTTGGGTTTCCAAGCTACCACATCATGGGCTCCCTCAGGTTACTGGCTAGTTTGCAAGAAGCCAGAAAGAGGGAGGCAAAACCTGGGGCAGCTATAACTTCTGTGGAGCTTTGTGGTCTCAGATCTTGTAATGGAGAAGTGGTGTGTGTGATTTGGGGCACAGGAAGAGACTGGAAAGAATACATTGAGGGGCACCTGGGTGGCTCAGTCGGTTAAGCATCTGACTTCGGCTCAGGTCATGATTTCACGGTTCGTTAGTTTGAGCCCTGCTTTGGGCTCTCTGCTGTCAGCACAGAGCCCGCTTCAGATCATCTGCCACCCCCCACCCCCGCCACCACTCCCCCGCTCACACTGTCTCTCTCTCAAAAATAAACATTAAAAAAAAGAAAGAACACATTGAACAGTCCAGGGCCCTACATCACCCACAGCCATTTGAGAAGAGAAGCAGCTCCGGTTTCTAGGCCGAACTGGAATGGGACAAATGGCTCTAACACTCCAGCTGTCCCTGCACCTTGGCCTAGAGGGCAGACGCCACTGTCTGCTCATGTGCTGACCTCCTGGCTTGGCAGATTGCTGAGTGGGTGTTTTCATCCCTCTGGGCCACTGCTGGCCGCCAACAGCAACGAGCACTAGGCCAGAGGGGAGTCTGTGTGCAACCACTGTGTAAGAGTAAATGGGCTCGAGGGCAAGTCTGTGGAGAAAAGGTTTTTCTAAGTTCTAGGGACTGCCTGAGAAGAGCCCACCATATTCCCCTCCCATGGCCAGGGAGTTCCCATAGGGAAACATACACGAAGTTGGTAGTTGGTTTCCCTTAGGAGTAAAGTTGCACCTGCTACAAAGCCAGCCTCCCACAGATCGCTCCATTATTGCACTGGCACAGAGACAAAGGCACCAGTGCCAAGTGCCAGCTGGGAACACTGATTATGGGTGATGGGAGAGAAAGAATGCTTCTGTCCCTGGTGCATATGATGGGAATCCCAGAGAATGGACGCTTATGCATAAAACAACCCCCTTGTTTTTGCCTAAATGCTTCCTTCTCTCATTTTGCCTTTAAAATCATCGAAGTATGGAGACAAAGAAATTGTGCATTTATATACGAATAAAGAGTGTGCAGATTCAGAATTGGCTCATCACAGGAAGTTATCTGTACCAGAGCTCTTTTCCCAAGAGCGAACTGTAGATTATTTGCTTGAAATTAATAATGGTTCATCAGCCATTCATTACACATGTAATTAGCCTGGGTAAAAACAGATGCCATGTCAATGTCCTTGACATCAATTTTTTCCACTCCCAAGTTCTCACCCCACACGTTCTTCTGTTTTTCCTACTCAAGTCTGGTAAACCCCCAAGTTCCAAATTGGGAACAGGCTGCATCCTTGGTGGGTTTGACTGCATGCAGGCAATACTTGGGTGTTCCCATCCGTGGAGGCGAAGGAGAATTTTTTTACAACTTTGGACTGCATTGCGCTCATCCTACATTCTAAACCCCTTCATGGGTAGAACCAAGCTAGACAACACCACTAGGTGAGAAGCTGGCATATTATGATGCGAACTGCAGAATTTCATGCTTCTGCAGACGGATCAATCCTGAGCAGTCTTCTCAACTCTGCAGAGGGGCTGATTATTTGTAGTATGGAGAGGACAACACAACACTTCTCTGCTGGTCTGAAGAACTGAAATCTCACTCAGGACCATGAAGTGGAACCTTAGAGGGACAGCAGGCAGAGGAACAGTCTTCAGTTGTGCAGGCCCTACCTAGATAGGAGCCCTGAGAAGAGGAACTCCTCTACAGGTGGGTCAGGATCGTCAAGCCTAAGGAATCACAGGCACTCAAGGGCAGTGCTCTTGAGCCAACAGGTGCTGTGGGGAGCTCAGGTTAGGGGGGATGGCAGTGCCGTAGTCTTGTTAATACCTCCCTAACAAGAGCCGGGGGTGGGACTCTTAGATCCAGTGAGGAAGGCCAATAATCCCAACCAGCACCTGGCCTGCTTGGACCACTGGGCCGACAGAGCAAGCTCTAAGGTGAGAACCTGATGTCTGCAGGGTAGAAACCTTGTTTTCCACCGTATTCCTAGTGCCTAGCACCACAGCTGGCACACAGCAGGTGCTCAATACATAATTGTCAAATAAAACGAATAAACACCATGAGCATGGCTAATGGAATTCAGAGAAAGAGCTCAGGGAATCGCTCTCCCTCAGCAGGTAGGGGGACCCATCCTTCAGAAGATTCTTTTATTAAAACTGGGTGACATCAATAAGGGGACAGTACAAAAAAAATTTTGGTCCATGAAAAAAACATAATTCAGTTAATAAAAACAGTTATCTTCAACAGGGACACTATGTAGGAGTGCTGAGCTTCCTTCTCATGGTTCCAGCCCCAAGGACAGAGGTTGTCCAGTGTCTCTGTGGGGAGAACCTTTTAAGGGAGGGGTGGGATAATGGCAGGAAGGGGAAGATGGGGAGAAAATTCTGCTGTCCCCAGTGTGGAACACGCAGGGATATGGGGCTGGAGGATGTGCTCGCAGGAGCCTGAGGACGGGGTGGGGAAGCAGGGGCTTTGTCAGTTCTGTGGGGTTAGAGCCCAGGCTGAACGGAATTCCCCCTCTGTGCCCAGCTGTCTCCCACCCTGCTATGTTGAGTCTGCGAGCCTGGGATATGCTAACTCGGGGTGATACAACCTGGAAGAAGAATCTGAGGCTCTCCTGGAAAGATGCAAAACCATCTCAGTTCCAAGGGGCCAAGATCACAAGGTCCTGCTGCTACCTGAGGGGTCTGAAGCTTTGAGGGCAGGGGCTGGGGAGTCACAATCCTGTGAGGCAGGGAGAGGGAAGAGTCACAAACCCAACTCAGAGCTATTCGCTAGCCCTAGGCGCTTTCACTCCTCAGTGCCCTAGAAGTCACCAGTGGGTGTCAACTGGGCAAACAAGGGACAGGAAGACAGGGATGGCCCAGGGCTTTTACCCGTTTGATTTCAGGCCTGTTTCTCCATGAAAGGATGAGGGAGGCAGGGTGGAGTGAATAAATGAGTCACACCTCCAAGCAACAGCAGGAACAGCCTCTGCTGGCAATGATAGCACCCCAGGTTAGATCCCTGGGGCTCTGGCATGGAAAGGCAAGATCCCCCCACCCAAATGCCCTAAATTAGGACAGATGGATAGCAGAGGAATCCTACAAAGAGCAGCTATAGGGAGTGTGCTGGGAGGGAGCAACAGTTAAAAAACAAACTCCAATACTGATGTGGACCCCCTACGAGGGAGTAAGAGAAGCACTGAGACAGCAGGCCAATCCAGAGGGCTGCGGACTGACCTGGGGCTCAGTGGAGCCCAAGAACCAGGGTTCCTTTAGTGCTAGAGGGCAACAAGTGAAGGAGGGCTGTGCTCCAAACCTGTGGAGGGAAGGAAGGAAATTGGATTCTGTTATCAGGAGAGCCAAGATCAACTAGCTTATAGAGTGCCCCCAGGCCTGAGTCTCAGAGAAGGGGCTAAAGCTCCCAACTCCTGGGTCTCTGAAGGGCAGGGTCAGTGTAGCCGGTCCCCTTGAAGACCACCTGGCCTTAGGCCCAATCCATTCAATGCACTGATTACCACTACAGGTTCTCTCTAATACTATCTAGAGGTCCTATGTAGACCAGGGGAGGGTAGAGGCACATGGGAACTTTGTGGGGCAAAGGGAAGCTGGGGGACAGGAAGGGATGGGGTGGGAGAAGAGGGTAACAGGCGTCTTATGAGACAGAAATGTGAGACCCTCTTCATTCTGGTGTTGTCCTTGAACCAACAGCATCCCCTGGAAGGCCCCAAGCAAGACCAAGGCAGGTGCTATGAGGCAGGCAGCACAGGGCCCAAATAAGAATCGGTGCAGCCGAATCAGGACTGTGAGGGAGGCCCTATGTATTTCGAATTCCCAGGGCTTGCTCTAATTCTTGTCGTCTCTGCTGCACCTAGGGAGAAAGCAGTGAAGAGAATAAATGACACAAACCAGAAGCTGGTACCTAATTTCCTGACCCTCACCAGGGGTTCAGACCCCTTGCTTTTCGTCAGTTTCCCGTGCCCAGGCGCCTACCTTGGAGTAGAAGTATCGGCACACAGCCTCCTGGGCCCAAGGCTGGAAGTAAAACTCAGCTCGGCGCTCTTCCTCTGGGTTCCCCACCACATCAGTCATGGTCTGGAGGATACGGGA